TGCCTTTAATTTCCAAACCAATCAAGGCTCTAATTTCAAGGTGTTGACAATTAAAACAAAAAAACAAACACAATAGCCATTAATACTTTTCCAGACAACTGTGTCTTTACGGTTTTAAATTATATCTTAGCCAAAAAATAGCCTTACCTAATTAAGATATATTCATCAGATATCTGTGCAAATATTTTTTTTTTTTACTTTAATAAGTTGGAATAAAAAAAAAAAAAAGTGAACTAGAAATGTTCAAATAAAAAGCACACCCCATGTTTGGTTGTGTATAAATATCACTAGTTACAGGTGCCACATAAAAATTAAAAAAAAAAAATTCTTTTTTTTAAAAATACGGTTATTTTTATTTATTCCATTTTTCATAGTATCAAATCACAAGACTCTTATTTCTGTTTTTCTCTATTCGCCATACAGTCACCCAGAGTAATCACACTTGCTGTTTTTTTTTTTTTTTTTTTATGTGCAAAGTTAACGCATAAATAAAAACTGAAAAAATATAATTATTTCCACAAACTATCAGGAAAAGTTATGGGTGTTAGACACGTCTGACATTTTCAATAACTGCAAATAACAGAGAGGATCTTATGATTCAACCTCCTTGGTATTCTTCTACCAATAAAAATAAAAATAATTCTACAAGTCTTCTATCAACACTCAATATAGGCTACTATTTACAGTGACTATAGCGTCCCTTTAATGTGAAAAACAAACAAAATTATTATTAATTTCTGCATGGCACAGCACAGAGTATTTATACAAAAGAATAAGTATAATTCTGAGCAGTGAGTAGTTATATAAGTTACAACTTTGTTGCCCAAACCAGTTAATTCCACAAGAATTGATATGTAATTATGATTGCCGATCTTTATAACATAACAAGTTATCAGTTAACAACGGTTTGTCCAAAAATGGGTGCAAATCAATTATAGAAATCAAGATGATATCCGTGGCCATTCAGAACTTTGTAGAAAATTATAATTTAATACTCATAAATCATTCATGTCAAAGGGATCACAGTCCCATTATTCTGATGCTTTTCAATAGCACTTTTACGAAAATAAGATCAATGAAAAGAGACATACCTTACGTCAAATATTTAAAGGAGCACTATAGGGTCAGGAACACAAACCTGTATTTCTGACCCTATAGGGTTAAAACCACCATCTAGCCCCCTGCCCCCCTCGTGCCTCCCTAAATTTAGTAAAATCTTACTGTATTCAAGTCTGAAGCTTCTGACTTGTCCCTGTTTCCTTTAGACATGCCCACTGCCTGCTGACATCAGCAGAAGTGGTAGCCTGATCCAACCACAATGCTTCCCCATAGGATTGGCTAAGACTGAGAAAGAGTCAGAGCAGGGGCAGAGCCAGCATGATTTAAACACAGCCCTGGCCAATCGGCATCTCCTCATAGAGATGAACTGAATCAATTAATCTCTATGAGGAAAGTTCAGTGTCTGCATGCAGAGGGAGGAGACACTGAATGTTTGGATGCATTTTAGGCAGCCATGACCCAGGAAGGATCTCTAACAGCCATCTGAGGAGTGGCCAGTGAAGTTAGCACTAGGCTGTAATGTAAACACTGCATTTTCTATCAAAACACAGTGTTTACAGCAAAAAGCCTGAAGGTAATGATTCTACTCACCAGAACAAATTCAATAAGCTGCAGTTATTCTGGTGACTATAGTGTCTCTTTAAGTTTTGTTGGTGACATTCCAGCAAAAGAAATGCTGTCGCCACAAGACTATTGGACCTAAAACAATTTAAAAATAACCAGAAAACACTTTTCTAACAATTAAAGGGATACTCTAAGTACCAAAACACCTTCCCTGGATGAGACTCACACAGCCTCCTTACACACTTCCTGAAAAAGAGCTCAACTTCTTAATTTCCTTAATCGCACAACAGTGTTTTATTTAGTATTTTTTTGATCCTTCTCTATTAATTGTGTGCAACAGTCTCCTGTGTGTAATTAAAATTTAAATTACAGAAGAAAAAAAAAAAAAAAGAACTTCAAAAGCTCTTCCACATCAGAACCAATGTGGTACAGGCATGTGCCTAGTGAATTGTGGTTGTCTACTAACAGACTGGAATTCCTGATGTGGATCAATCATGTTACTCTTTCTCAGTGGTGATCGCGGTACACATAGAAGTCCTGTAGATCTCTGCCTTGTTCCTGGATGATCTTGTATAGACAGAGATACTAAAAATAAATGCTGCACTAGGTAATGTTAAGGAAAAAAAGTCCACTGCAGTTTGGAACTTCCTTACTGAGGAAAGTGATGGTCCTCCTGGCAGGTATAATCAAGTAAAGGAACTCGATCACTCAAGCAGGAGTTCCTTTACTTGTGTTTACACCTTCAAACAGTTGATCATTTCAAAACCAATTTATTTTGCATGGTTACAGTGTGGATATTCTTCTACAACCAGCTTTTGATTTTGTGAGTCCTGGGTGCATCTGGTAGCCATGCCACCTTGTGGCAAAGTAAAACGAGACGGTGAAAAAGCATGTCTTCAGAAACCAAACCTACTGTTCCTTTATTAGTCTGTTACAATACCTCATGTCACTACTGCCTATAATTCTATAACCTGATCAACTTGACAAGTCCTTCCACTGGATGAGTCAGATGTCTAGTGCTGTCTGATGTCCAAGCACACATTATTTATTTATTTATAAAATATTTTACCAGGAAAGATACCTTGAGATTTTTCTCGTTTTCAAGTAAGTCCTGGGTCCACGAAACATTGCATTGTTACATTAGGGTACAATAAAATACAAAAACAATATTAATACACAATATATACAAAACATAACATAGAGCAGGTAGGAAATATATAATCAACCATGACATGTGCATTCTGTTTTGAGGTATGTAGAGAGGGATCTCTTAAAGGACTCTAGGCTTGGGAAAGATTTTACAGTGTGGTTGTTCCACAATTGCGGCGCTCTGAAGGAGGAGGAGGAGGATCGCGCCGCTTTCTTTTTGTGTTGAGGTAGACTAAACAAAGTGCTGGTACTGAATCGGAGGTTATAGGAGGTGGGAAAAGCTGAGGAGAGCATTCTACTCAGGTAGGGTGTGAGCTTCCAAGAAAAGCTCTTAAACACAAGGCTGGAAAGATGAAGGGTGCGTCTGGATTCCAGCGACAGCCAGTTTAGTTATTTTAGCATGTCACAATGGTGAGTCCTGTAATTACATTGTAGCACAAATCGGCAGAACGAGTTATACAATGTATTGAGTTTATTAATGTGGGATTGCGGTGCAGATGCATATACTACATCCCCATAATCAATGATTGGCATCAGCATTTTCTGTACAATCTTTTCCTTTACTGTAGGGCTTAGGCAGGATTTGTTTCTGTACAGGGCACCTAGTAATGGATAAAGTTTAGACGCAAGTTTTTCTATGTGGAGGCCAAAAGATAGATTGGGGTCTAACATCACACCCAAGTATTTGAAAGAGTGGACTGCGGTCAGTTTTCCATTTGAATTTGTTTTGATGGATAGGTGGGAATTGTGTAATTTGTGTAATTTAGGTACTGTTCCAAAGATCATTGTGACAGTTTTGTCAGTGTTTAGGAAGAGTTTGTTTTTTGCGATCCACTTTTCTACCTCTGTAAACTGGTCTTGGAGCACAGCCTCAAGCTGCGGTAGCTCGGATTTGCTCACATAGATCACCGTGTCGTCTGCATACATGTGTACATTTGAGGATTTGCAGACATTAGGCAGATCATTTATAAATAATGTAAATAGTAGGCGGGCCGTGAATGGGCTGAGGACACCACACGTGACTGGGAGGGAGTAGCTGTCAGAAATGGACACATTGAGAAGCAGCATGCAAACTCTGCTTAAATACCGTAGCTGCAGAGTTGTTTTTTAATAGAAATACTTGTATGCATGAAAGGTTATTACCCGAAAAATCATGATTGTTATTTATTTATTTATAAAATATTTTACTAGGAAAGATACATTGAGATTTCTTAAGGAGATGATGCAAACACACAGGCAGACTGGCAGCACATAGGTTAAAACTAAGTGAGTTTCAACTCCAAGGAAATTGACAAAAAGTTTCCAAACCAACTATTCCTATTCAATATTTGGGCATGGCCCTCATTACCTACACTTCCTCTATGTCATATATGCTTTATTAGAATTAGAGGTTTGCCTTGTTTACATATTGTACAGCGCTACGGAATATGTTGGTGCTATATAATTCATTGAAATTTAATTTATACATATAAACTTCCTATGTTTCAGATATTAACACAAACCGCAGACACAGCCTGCCATTCTCCAATTGCACTCCAGAGGATATGAGCAATGACTATTTGTATTGTGGTCTTTTAAAAATGACTTGTGTCATACCCTGATCAATGCAATTTCAGATCCGTTTCAGCACTTGTTTTTCCTGATAAATTAAAGTGGAATTGTAATATACTGTTCTTTTTTTGGCAGGACTAAAAACAATTTAACATGTGCATAACTATGACTAATAACGTTGAGCTAAGGGATTTTACAAAAGGCGATTTCTTCGGTTTATTATAAATCCAATATGTCCTTCTCAATTCAACCACAATAGCTAAAAGCCAAGTGTAAAATAGAAACATAGAATGTGACGGCAGATAAGAACCATTCGGCCCATCTAGTCTGCCCGATATTTCTACATACTTTCATTAGTCCCTGGCCTTATCTTATAGTTAGGATAGCCTTATGCCTATCCCACGCATGCTTAAACTCCTTTACTGTGTTAACCTCTACCACATCAGCTGGAAGGCTATTCCATGCATCCACTACCCTTTCAGTAAAGTAATACTTCCTGATATTATTTTTCAACCTTTGTCCCTCTAATTTAAAATAATGCACGTAAAAAGAAAAATAACAAGAGATGTTCCACAAAAACACTAAAAGAAAATTATTTTAAAGGGAAGTTGCATTTTGCAGCAAATTCTTGGGTGGTGCATTTTTTTGTATATTTGGGGGAAAGAAATGATATATATTTCATTATGGTAATTTACTCTGTACTATCATGAGCACCTAACACAAATATATATATATATATATTTGTGTTAGGTGCTCATGATAGTACAGAGTAAAATACCATAATGAAATGTAGGATAGTAAAAAGAGCAACTCGGTTGTGGTGTGCCGGAACCGACGATGAGGTAGGCCTGAGAAAGAAGAGGGCTTACCAAGGAAAATATATAGAAAGGAAATAATGGTAAAATGTGGTGTGGTGGGAGGGTCATTCAACGCTGACCTCGAACGGTAAGGAGCAAGGTAAGGGGTGTGCCTTAAGTAGGCTAGGAGTGGATACCAAGCAACTCCCACAATTACAGGCCAAATTGCCTTAATACTTGTGTTAGGTGCTCATGATAGTACAGATAATACCATAATGAAATGTAGGATAGTAAAAAGAGCGAGTCGGTTGTGGTGTGCCGGAACCGACGATGAGGTAGGCCTGAGAAAGAAGAGGGCAAAAATTAAGTAATCAAATTTATTACAGACAACCAATACAGATACATATATCAACCAGAGATGTTTTTGAAAGCATCCCTTAATTCTTGTACTGGGTTTGGTATGTACCATGAGTAAGCGGATGATTTCCAGCGCCCCAGTGTTTTTATAACATGAACTGGAATGTTGACACTGGAGGCTGTGGATGCCGCCCCTATGCGGAAGGAGTGCCCTGAGTAGTTGTATCTTGTAATACCTTTTTTATTGGACTAGCAGAATTTTTTAATGACAAGCTTTCGGGAGAACCTCCCTTTCTCAAGTCTAAAGCATTTCTGAGCAACTCGACACATAGAATTCAAAGTTGAGTTGTTATACAGGGGTTAAAGGTTACATGTGACATGTGCAGACACCATTCTTGCAGAGGGTCTTAAATATCTTGTGTGAAGATCACAGAGTGAGGTGGGAGAGAGAGAGAGAGAAAACAAGCAAACAGTACAGAAGATTTTGTTAGAAGGTGAGAGTAAAAACTAAATAATTACTTATATTAAGAATGCATGAATTCCCATCCAAGAGTTAAAGGATATGCATGAAGGACTATATTCAGTTTATATATATATATATATTTATATGTATATATATATATATATATATATATATACATACACACATATACACACACACACACACACACACACGATGTGGTAGGTTATGCAAGTATTCTCGGTAAGAAGGAGGTGAATTTATAGGAAAGAGATCTGAATAGTCAGTGACCGGTACTGCTTCACATTCCCTGCAATGCCTATGACAGACAGACTGCCTGCCTCACATTAATTCACTTCACACCACTTCTATCGATCCATGGCCAGCTCCCTAGCTTCTCTCCACACATTGCCTGTCTGGCTGCTTGCATCCACATCAGCACATACACACAAAGGCCAGAGAAAGATAACCTTTCATTTTATATTAAAGGCACAGCGGCCATTTTCCACCCACGTATCTAGAGGTAAAACTAAAGAGAGAAAAAAAAAACAGAACGTGCCAGCCTGTCTGCCTGCTGGACATTTGTACTCCTGAGAATTCAGAAAACCTCCACTTGAAGTCTATGAAATGGTAATTTTTAACATCCCAGCTAAAATAAGCTAAATTAAACAAAAGGAGGGATTAGATGAACAGGGAAAAAAGATTAGGTTAAAGGAAATTTGGATATTTTTTCTGCTCTTTTTCCCCCTCACTAAATATAGTACAAAGTTGGAAAGAAAAGGCGCTAAAATGAAAATTACAGACATTAATATACATAGTCACAGGGATCTAGGTTTGTCTAGGAATGCTCATAAGGATTATGTAAACATTACAAATGCATTTACATGTAGAGAGGTCAGTTGTAGACAGATAGCAACAGATCAAACCAGGAAAAAACTACAGACAAGACTGGTCATCCTCAATGTCTGGAAGTTCTACATCAACTCAGAACCTTGAGAACCTAGTTCAGTACATGTTGACTGAGCGGTAAATTCATTTTTCAAGGCTCCTTATTTTGGCCTAAATTTTAGAAACGACTCATTATAGTATGTGCCTGAAAGCTTGGCGAATGCACTTTTAGCAAAGTGGGCACCAAATTGCTGCCGTGCGCCTAGTGGCTACTACTGCAGAAGTGAACTGTGACTGAAGCTATCATTGCACTTTATGGTGTCCCTATGAGTCTGTCATGAGGGTGAAAAGGCCTGACGGTCCAGCCAGACCCAAGATCAGAACCAGCACTGCTAAGCCTCAATATAACTATTGCAGCTATTCAGACACCAACTCCTCTTTCTTCATATATGTCACAAATTTAATTTAAAAAAAATATGGCTTCAGGGCCAAATGATTACCCCAGCTAGCAGGAAGGGAAATGCAGCTAAAATATACCTTTGTAAGGCTGTATAACTATGTTTTGGGCAATTTTTTTTAGTTACACTTCTATCATTTAAGCCATTCTAGAAAGTGGATGTACCACACAGGGTCTGTGGAAAACGGTCAATTCTATTTTAAAGCTGGATTATTAAGTGTAAAGGCATAAAAATAAAAAATAAAAAATGAATATCAGTTTTCTGAGGTTTCCATATGTATATCCACAATAACCTATTGGCATACCAGTATACCAAAATTCAGAAGAAATAGCACCCTTTACCTTATATACAGGCAGAAAACCTATCTAACCTAAACATTTTTTAGAGTAACCCAGAGCTTGACAATTTTGTTTGGAATCTACTAGCCAGCTAAAAGTAAAGAGACTTTTTTTTTTTTTTTTTTTTAAACTAGCAAAGTTTAATTTACAACGAGAAATATGCCATTCTTAAAGGTACAACTACAGTCACCAGAATCACTATAGATTAATTTAGTGGTTATGGTCCCTATAGCCTGTCCCTGTAGCCTTTTCAAAGTAAAAGCTGTATTTTTAGAGAAAAGGCCTCTAGTGACAGTCACTCGGACCGCCACTAGAGAATTTTACCCAAAGGCCACTAGTGACAGTCACTCGGATGGCCACTAGAGAATGTTACCCATAGAGAAAATGAGCAATATTCTCCCAATACTTTCCAATAGGAAAGTATTGGCTTAGCTGAGATTATAAAGACTAATGATCTCAGCTATGCAGGCAGGACAAGCCGCAGCAAAACTGGTACGGCGAGGGAAAAAAGGAGAGTAAAACCACCTCTCATGTGATTGGAGCGGGGCAGACACACACACACACAGATATAAACACGCAGTGACCGAGACACACACACACTCTGAGAGAGACACATACTGACAGAGGCTGACACACACACACACACATTTTCTCACACACTCACAAATTTACATTTTAATTTTAATCCACCCGATCTCCCTACCATTGGGAGAGCTGAATGGATCTTTCCCTGGGGACCAGTGTCTTTTCCTGCGTGCGAAGGAGCAGTGAACTTCTTGCACCTCCTCTCTGCTACCTGCACTGATGTCGGGGCCGGAACGACATCATATTACCGGCTCCACTATAAAGTGTTCCCTCACATGCTGCCTTAGCCGACCACCACGATGCTCACCAGAGCTCCCCAGGGTTGCAGCTAGGCTACAATGCTCCCTGAGCCAGCCGCCTCCATGCTCCCCAGGGCAACCGGCTCCATTGTTTGTCCAGCCAGCCACCTTAGCTAAAGGGTTGACAAATCCCAGGTGCCAGGGCAAAATTTCTAGTCGCCATGGCGACCTGGGATTTGTCGAGCCCTGGAGTAATCAATTTACCCCCCACTCAAAGGCAATATAACAGTTGTTGACATATCTTCAATAAAGAAATAAAAACAAAACAAACTGTACTATACTAACTGTACTATTAATGCATTCCTTTAGAGTTCTAAAAAAAATTATCAGAAAAAGGTATGCGAATATAGATGTACACTGATTAGATTAACACAAAAGCAACAGATTCTGTTGACGTTGATAAATATTTTCACTTACTATATGAAATCAGATCCAAACAAAAGATTTGTGAAAGATATGACTAATTAGAAGCTCATAGGGCTTGTAACACAAAATGTGTTGGTGACATCAGTTTAATACACTTACGTGACATAATGGTGTCAACATATTGGGGCAAATAAGATGCCCAGGAATCGATAGTTTCTTTGCGTCCAGTCTGTCCAATTCTCCTTAGTTCTGCTAGTAAAAGAGCTTGTGCTGCCTCTCTAACCTAAAACAAGAGTTAATAACACTAATGAATCGTTGCTTAAAAAGATAGTAAAGATTCAAATTAAATGTATGCAATCGGGCCATATTTAGAGAAGACAAACAATATACATATATATTATTAGATTGCCTACTTTACTTTTCACACTTTAGGAACAGGATATAAAAAAAAGATAAATTCTTGCTTTAGGAAGGCATGTGGGCAGCCATTGGGATTTTCTGTTCACGGACCACGATTTGAATAACTCTCAGTATTTGGCTCCTGGTCGACTACAGAGGAACTTTACAACACTTCAGAATACATATTCTACGTGGAACTTCTTGTAAATTATTACATATGAGCATGGTGATGCTGGGTATAAATAATGCATTAGACTAACTACTAGACTAACTACAGTGCTACGTACCAAAATAGAAAAGAGAAAAACATATCCCTGCCTAGTACAGTCCTGAAATCCTAGAGCAGGGTTACTTTGATAATTTATTAATAATGAAATTGCATGGCCAAGATACACAGTCTACTTGTTCTGAAAATATATCAATCTTGGGGTTGGAACAAACCATTTGTTCAAGCACATTTAAAGGAACACTATAGTCACCAGAACAAATAGAGCTTATTGGATTTGTTCTGGTGAGTAGATCATTCCCTTCAGACTTTTTGCAGTAAACCCTGTCTTTTCAGAGAAAATCCAGTGTTTACATTACAATTTAAGGATAACTTCACTGGCCATTCCTCAGATGGCTACTAGAGGTGTTTCCTGGGGCAGTACTGCATTTTGGTGTTTCCACCCCACGCAGACACTGAACTTTCCTCATAGACATGCATTGATTTTATTAAAGGACACGGAGGCTCCTATTAGGCTTAACTCTTTCTTTTATTCCTCAGCAGCAAAGAAAGCTAAGGTGTTTATTTGTAGAAAAAACATGCATAAATACCCTCACAGGGTTAACCTTATCTGA